GGGTCTACGTGGCTCCCATCACTAGCAGTCCTCAGCAGTCCTGGCTTGCAAGGAATCCAAGTGAATGTGCTTGGGCCTGTCTTCCTCAGGACTGAAAAGGTCTTGGCTCTGTGGCTGTATCTGTCCTCAATGCTTCCTGGACTCAGAGCACGAACTGGCCAACAGCTCAGAGACCAGAGGAGGTAGCAGCCAGGTCCAGGTGCCTGGGGAAGAAGCTAAGCAAGACTGGCCTACTCACCTCTCTCCTGAATCTGGGCTCAGTGGAGCACTGTGTACACTCGCCTGTCTGGGGTATGTGTCTGGAATATCACAGAGCACATGTGGCCATAAGGATGCCGATGGTGACTGTGAGACTGTGTTGTACAGACTGTATCTGAGTCTCTCGGGCACAGCATGACTGTAGGATGGGGAGGTCTGTGCCCATGACCCGGGGGCTTTGCAGAGTGAGCTTGTGGAAGCAACCTCTCCTCCCTGCAGAGCCTCCCTGCAGCCCCTTGCTGGCAGGCCCCCCACAGTGAGGGCCCCATCTGCTGGAGGCTCGCTGACCTGTGTCAAATGAGCAGGCGCTCGGTCACACTCCAGGGCCTGGCAGAGGCAGTGCTGCTCTGGGAAAGCCCAGCAGTTCCAGGCCTAGGGGCAGGCTGGGCAGGAGCCCTGCTGGGGACAGAGGCCTGGGAGCTTCGAAGGCTGGCGGCGGCCTGGCTGGGAACTGCCCTTCACAAACAAGAAAAGGGGGTGGGGGGGGTGGGGGGAATGAGGGTGTGGGGAATGCATCTCTGCCTCCTTAGAGCTAGTGGTGCTAAACTATGGGGACCAAATGCTAACTTGGATAAGTTCTTTCTTCCTCTGCTTTCTGATCCCTTGGGAGGGATTCCTACTCATTTCTACAAGGTACACATGTGAGTCTATGTGGAGTGGGTGGGTGTGCAACTCTTCGTATCTGTGTGCCTCTGGATCACAGAGCATGTGTGGCTGGCTCTGTGCACAAATACAAGGGTGTGCCTGTGTGCATGACTTGGCAGACCAGCTACAGGTCTCCATGTTTGTCTCCCCATCTCTACTGTGTCGGTGAAGGAAACGCCTACTAAGGCCTATTCCAGCTTACTCATGAAGTCTGTGTGTGTTCCCCTTTAAAAGCATGCTTGTCTCCTCATTGTGTTTTGGTTTGTAGGACCATGACCATCCAGCCTAATGGTACAGAGCCATGTGTCCCTATTCTGAATGTGTGCTAGCTTGCACGTGGAAATCTGCACGATGTGGGCATGAATCCACATCTGCTCAGATGCCTGAACCATTCCATGTCAGCGAGGGGCTGGGGAGGGGTGGTACCCAACATCTGGTATGCCCTTGTCACTGGGTGTGATGGGTCTGAGGACACGTCCTCCCCAGGGACTATGAGAAAGGTGCTCCTGGAGAGAGAGCCAGGAGTCATGCTGGAGGCCCTGTCCCAAGTAGAAACTGCAGGAGCAAGAGCCTGGAGGATATTATGATTTCTTGGGAGAAATTTAGAGATCAAACACAAGAAAGCTTTGACTCAAGATCAAGCCTAGACTGTTGCATAGGTCTAAAGAGTCCAAAGTAGTGATAAGAATTTTATCTTTCCCTAGTTCAACCCAGAGAAAGCCTCTGCTAGTCAGATGGCATCTAACATGCCTTATTTCACCCTTGGGAGCCCCTGGGTGGTACAAATGGCTTGTGTACTCAGTTGCTCTTTCAAGACTGGAATCCATCTTGGAAGAAAGGCTTGTCCATCCACTTCTAAAAAATCAACCCCTGAAATCCCTGTGGAGTCCAGTTCTACCCTGACACACAGGAGGTTACCACGAGTCAGGATCAGCTTGATAGCAATTGGTTTCTTTCATCCTCAGAGTCTCACAGCAATCCTGAGAAGCGGGCCTTGCTGTGCCCATTTACTGGTGAAGAAACTGAGGCTCTTGACAGGTCAAATAGCTGACCTAAAGTCACACAGCTGCTCACAAGGGCCATGGTGTTAGGGCTCAGGTGTGCTGGGCTCACAAGCCCAAGCTGCTAAGCTGAAAGTCTCACCTGCCTTGTACAGACACATCGCACTTCAGCACAGACCTGGGAACACAGCCCCTCAGGTTCTAGCTGATTCTGGACTACTACAAGAGAAGGGCCATGGACTCTCTGCTGTCTGTGATGGTCAAACTCGCCGCCTCCACAGGCACAGTCCCACACCCACCCCACAGCAGCAGGGCAAATGGTGAGGATGGTGAGGGCTGAGACCCTCACTAGTTCAGAGGTGCAGACCTTCCAACAAGTCTCGTTTTTCCTGTCTATGCACTGGGGGCGAGAATGGCAGTGTTCTCTTACAGAGTCAGGGGGCAAAGGTGCAACAACGAATGTAAAGGCATTCTGTAAAGCCCACTAGTCATGTCATCAAGTCTCACTGGAACTTCCAAAAGCTGTTGACTGTCCAGATATCTCTCTTCCTCCAAAAGAAATAGGAAAAGAATCTTCGAATCACAGCTTCTCAGAGCTGAAAAGGTCTTAGAGGTCAAGGGGTCCAAACTTCAGCAAGCTGACTGCAGGGCTGAGGAAACTAAGACTGAGTTGAAGGGAAGAAACTTGCCCATTCATGGAATAACAGTAATAGAAGCACAGAGTAATGTGCCCTTTCAGGATCTTTCTGCCTCATTGTCTCATACCATCCTCTGACTTACTTTAGTAGCAGTCTCAATTAATAGGTAGGAAAATCAAGGGCTAGGGACAATGGGCCAGCGTCACTATCACCAGGGAAAATAGTGGTAGTTCTGAGCTGGCAACCCAAGAGTCAAATGTCATGCAGGTCCAGCTACGGCTGGCATGAGAGGAACCTCTGCCCTGGCTCTTTCTCCTTTGGCCCTACTCCAGAGTCTGGGAGAGGACCCAAGGAGGCAAGTGAACTCGAGGTCCTGTGCTATCTATCTCAAGATGACCACTTCCTAGGCCAGACCTTAGCAAAGGCTAGCATCCCCGGGTGGAGTCAGACAAAGGGCTCTATCACAGCTCCTATAGCAAGGGTACTGACTGAGGGGCCTTTTCGGGACACTGACCAATGGCTAACTAAGGACTCTGCCTGTCCCATCCTACCCCTTGAGTACTAGCCAGAGGCTGGTCCTAGGGTGCACTCAGGATTCAGACAAGCAGTCAGTGCCTAGGATGACACTTGTCATTGTCAACTCTGCCCAGCCACCTTGGGATTATGCCCATGGCAGCTGCAGCTGAGCCCCCAATTACCTTTTCTCACACACTTCCCAGCTGAGGTTTTATTCCATAGTCTTAAATCTATCCAGCGGGCCCCTAGCTTGACCCCCTCTCCCCAGCTCAGCCCTGTGATCTAGGATGCCAGGACTCTGGAATCTTTGACTCCACTGGTAGCTAGATTAAGGAGTAAAGTGGGGTAGACTAGTAGAAGACTCCCTGGGACCCCAAGTCTAGGCAAGAGAGGAAGCTACAGTTCACTCACTCTCCGCCTGGGGCTAATGTGAGGTTAGAACCACAGAGGGAGCTGCAGCTGAGGTCCAAGTTCACTCAAGATCCTCCCTCAAAGAATCGAAGGTATGAAATGGTATCCAAATTCCACATCCTGCCTCTCCTAACAAAGGTTGCTCAACTCCCTTTTTCACCAGCCCCAAGCAAGTCCAGCTAAATTGCAGCTCAAGGTCTCACACCAGGCTGGACAGCTCCCTGCCTGCATCCTGAAGTTCCATAGTGGTTCCGAGTCCATCTCACTCCTCATCCCACTGCCTCCGCGTGACCCCTGCCAACGAGCCCCTTCAGGCCTGAAGGAGAAAGCTCAGAGCGGCTACCCCTAGGCCCAGCGTCCACATTCAGTCCGGGGGACGTCTTCTCATTCCAGAACCCCGAGCGGGGTCCAGATACAGGAACTCCTATCTCTCCGTAGCACCGCTGCCTCCAGCTGCCACAGTCCGCAGCCGCCCGTGTGGTACTCACCTGGGCTGCAAATGAAAGGATGCTTTCAGGAAGAAGGAAGCAGAGACTGGTCCTACTTCGATCACGCGCTCTCAGGGCAGCGGAGGTCCAGCGGAGCCATGACGATAGGTCTAGAAGGAGAAGAAGGAAAAGCAAGAAGGGTCCGAGAAGCGCGTGGAGAAGAGCTCCGTGTGCGCTCAAAGCTGCGGAGAAGGGGCGGGCGAGGTGAGCGGCCGCGACGAAATCGAGCCAAGGACCCGCACCGCCTCCCTCTCGCAGCAGCCGAGACCCGCGGGAATCCCAACGCGCCGATAGCGGCACTGCGAAGGGAAGGCTTAGCAGCTTCTCGGAGCCGGAGCGCCTCCCGGAGCCCGCAATGCCAGCCGCTGTCTCTGGACGCCCCAGCGGGATCCAGGAGGGAATTCAGACCGCGTAAAGTGTGGGACCGGCCAGGCTCGGGATCTCCAGTGCCGAGGAAAAGCCGGGCCCACGCAGCCAGGACGAGAGGGGGTGCGGTCCCCGTGCCACCCCCGCGCCACTCCCCACGTGGCGGCCGCGCCCCCGGGGCGTGAGTGTGTACGCTGACTGTAGGGGGGGTCGTGAATGAAGCCCCAGCGGCCAATCAGGACTGCCGGCGCGCGGGACCCCAGGAGCGAGGCCCAATGGCAAGCTCTGGGCGGCCCGGCCGGGTGGCAGGCAGGCGCGGGG